CAGATGATAAAAAGCATAACATTTTCAAGTTGGATGTGGCCTTCCATAGACATATTGTCAATTATATTTAGCTGCAAGACAACATACTTGGAAGTTTAGCTCTGTCTGCATAACTCAGCTGCAGGTTCTGCTCCACACATGGCTTCTTGGTGGCAGGAACTCCATTGCCATTCTCCTCCTTGGGCCTGAAAGAGACGAGTTGCAAATGTTACTTTGGAGGTTTTGGAGCATTAAAACAGACACACTAATACTCTAACTATTCTTGTTATCCTATTTTTCCTGTAAGGGAAAAGCTACATAACTGTACCTGAAAGTGTTGTTGTCCATGATGAACTTGCGGACTCTCTGAACAGTTTGGGCATCGATGCGGTCACCTTTCTGCAGCACATTGAGCAGCTTGGACATGGAGATGATAGGATGGAGCTTGATTCCCACAGAATGCAACATCTCCACACCGCCTTGATTTCTGTCCATTAGTACAATGGCATCTGTCACCTTTACCAAATAAACAAATATTTCATTAAAAAATGACAGCAACCAGAACCATTATTATTTTGAAAGGACTCTTGTATGCTGCTGCCCCACTGTACTTGATGGAATTCTATAACCTATACAATGATCAATCACTTTTATAGGGGATCACTGTAACATTATCATCACCACTGTAATTTGATACCGAACCTTCAGTCTCTCTTTGTAGAGCACTTCAGCAGTCTCCAGGATGCTGCTGCCAGTAGTCACTGTGTCCTCAATGATCAGACAGAGATCCCCCTCACGATACAACCCCTCCACCACACGCTTGGTTCCTAGCAGGGTTACATCAGGAGGTTTATAGTCTCTATTCTAAACAAACTTATCTTTGTCACTTATTGATGGCTTTGGCAAAATCAACATCCAGTGGGGCAATATTTTCTGAAAAATCTGGTTTATATGTTTGTTCCAATCATCTATGTGTGAAGAGTGCAAAACTCTGCTTTCAAGACCTGTGGTTCACTTACATCAGGTCGATATCCACTGCTTTAAAAAAAAAAAAAAAAAAATTAATAACGCACCTAGTTACAACCAGTTAGTATTTAAAAATATTCATAGAATAGTTATTATATTTAATTATCATAATAGTTCAATGTTCAAATCATGTTGTCCTTCTTCTATCAGTGATAGAAAGACTGGTGCATAAGCAAAAATATCAACCCACAGAGAGCAGCGCAGTAGCAGCTTGGTAAAGTATCAAGATATCATAATTGGCAAAAATCTTAATGAAAGAGGATCTTGTCATATTGTCTTTCTGCTCACTATTACCACGCAGATTAACAATCAAGTGTTACACAACATGACAAATCTTATCCATCCTAACAAACTTAACATAACAGAATGATTGTGCTTTCTAGGGCTTTGCTGACAAATGCAAGGTCAGAACTAAATCAAATGAGCCTAACTATCCTTCCCTCTCACCCACCATAGTCCTTAGCCTCCTTTCTCCTGATGAGCATGGGCAGTTCATGTTTAGAGCAGATAATTGTGGCCAAAGGTAGGGCTGTGTATGGAACCCCACACACTGAGTCAAACTGTAGCTCCTCTTCTTGCACTCGCTGGTAGATGAGACTTGCCACCTGAAAATAAAACAATAAATAAGGTTTGCAGCTGCAAACGAGTTTTTAAAGTAGCAGTGTTGCAGGAGACATAAACATCCAATGTACCTATAACTGTTGCATGAATGGGGTCATTTCCCCACCATTCCTCTGAGGGTCAACACATTTTATTTCCCTGATCATGTTTAAACTCCATAAATTAATGTTAATGTTAATTAATTAGTTAACGGGTATAGCTGGAACCTGAATTGTTCACATTTCTAACAGGTGTTGTATAATTATTACATATAGGCTATGTTTTTATTTTATATTTATATATATTTCATATATGGAAATTCAATGTATGCTCATATAATACTTTTGCGTACGGACAAGTGTTTGGTTCTAAATAACAGAAAGAAATGAAACTTATCTAAGCGTTGCTCTAACAGGTATTCCATGTGTGAGCCCTTCCCCCCTGTAGTGACTTGGGTTCAACAAAATAAACCTAAGCCACAGTGAGGGGCTGCTACCGGGATGCGTAGTTGACGCGTTGTCATGAGGTGGCTCCATATGATAAATCAAAACATCCGACTTGTACCAAGTTTGTACCAATAACTTGCATGAAAATAAACAAAAAGGCGTAAACATTGAGCTCTAAACGGCAACGGTCAAAAACTGTGTGCTTCTCCTCGGTAAGCAGCACACCTGAGGAGTAATTGCCTCTTCTTCTACTTATACCTTTCATGTATTGCCATTCAATACGCCACCTACTGTGGCAACCAGTGCATTACTCTAACACACACACACAAATATACAAATGGCTCTAACACCCCCCACACACCTTAACCCATCGTCCTCCATGTTTTAAAAAATAAAATAAAATAAATGTGTCTAAAGTAAAATGTAAACTTGTGTCTGCTCTGAACATGTGTAGAACAATATATGTTTGGGGGAGTAAAGATTGTGAAAGGGTTATGTTTGTCACATTAAATATATATATACATACATACATATATATATATACATACACATATATATACATACACACACACACACACATATATATATATACATACACATATACATATACATACACACACACATACATATATATATACATACATATACACATATACATATATATATATATATACATACATATATATATATATACTGCAGTCTTTCCACAATGAGTTGTGTGAACAACCTCCAGTTGTGTGAACATGTGAATTAAGCTCACTCGCTCTACGGGAGGTAGACTGCGTCCGAGTTGATTGCAGTCCCTGCCTCCGCCCCTGAAACATGGCTTCCCTGAAATTACAGGCAGCTCACGTGGGCCATCAAGCCTATAGTCTTATTCAGCAACCGGGCTTCTTAGGGGACGTAAAAGCTTAAAGAACCCCACAACTGGGGTATTTACTTACGTATTTTAAGTTTAGATTAAAACGTGAAAATGTTATGATCTTGTGTTAACCACAGACCTTAGTTCAGCTATCTAATCCAAACCGGAAGACCTCCAGACGAAGAAACCGAAAGTGCTAACATGCTAACTATTTTCGGGTTTTAGGACTCATTCCTACGGCACTTTTTTTTTAATATTCAAAAGTCAGTCAGACTATGATGAGAAAAAGACAGACGTGTTTACCTGATTCATGAGAGCAGGGTGCGATACCAGAACTCTCAGATCGATATAAATAGGTGTCATCATGCCGCTCTTTGTCTTGTACTCTCCAAACTTCACCGCGTTCACATCGTGAAGTTTCAGGATTAAACTGTCAATGCAAATGTTTTCCATTTTCTCGTATATTAAGGAGATCCCACAGGAGTTGTCTCGAACGTCTATCCCGCTCAAAGATATTGTAAAAAGGAAGTATCCTCTTTGACGTCACCGATACGTTCACGAATAAGAGGGGGGTAACTGTGAAGCCCATTTCCCACTGGTCAAAAAACCCGCTAAACTCATTATCGGAAAAGGGTTTAATCGACATTCACATCCGGGTCAAATAACTCTGCAGTATACGCGGGTATTTATCGGCTCCAATCGGCATTGATGTAAACACAACACCCGGGTGAACTCGCCAATTTTTGTCCTTTTACCTGCTGTAACGTCTTTCAAAGTACAGACACCGTAGACACTGTCACCTGTCCAGCACGGCGCTTTTAAACCAGAAACACCGCGGCTAAACTGCGTTTGGGGATGAGAGATCGAGCGCAGCTTCATTTGCAGACGGATCCTTTTGCTATAGAGTGAAGTGGGCGGCTCCACATTCACAATTTAAAAGTAATATTATGTTAGATGGTATATGCTTCACAGACAAAAAATGTAGTCATAGTCATAGGAGACTTTGCCAGGGGTTCAGAACTCTTGCAGTCAAACTGTTTGGGAACTCTAGATTTGAAAATTTTAAATGGAAAAAAGTTTAGCATTATAATAAGAAATATTGTGTTATAAACAAAATTAGAGAAGTTTGATTTAAAATTATACACTTGATTTATCCTGTAATCCAGGTATTTTCAAGATTCAGAGACGATATTGACGGAAAATGTGTGTTTTGTAAGTATGAAACAGAGTATTTGTCAAGTATTTCATGAATGCTTATCTATCAAATTGTTTTGGTAAGATATATAATATTTCTTTAAGATGCTACTATTCATTTAAATAAAAGAGACATGTTTTATGATAAGATGTAAAAATTACAAAAAACATTTACAAATAATTTTTGCAAAGATTGAAATTCTGACTATGAATTACAAATAAATTCACATATATGGATTAAGAGTTTGAGTTACAGATGAAAAATGAACTATTTTGTGTTTCAAAACTAAATATGATTGAAAGTATCTGTTTTACTTTTGCAATTGCACATATGAGAAAGGAAACAAAATGAGGAAACAAATGAGGAATGACCAGGAATCACCAGCCAACTCAATGGTCGTATTCAATTGTTGAGAGTGTATTCAGATCAGCTGGTTTGACACTGCAGACTTAAATGAACACTAGCCTGACTGTGGTGAAAAAGTAGTTGTCAGTTTCCTACATGGGAGAACTTGGTAGAAATAGCATGATAGTGGCACAAAATGAAAATAATGTTACTATGAAAGCTTCATATGATTGTTTTCAATAACTAACTCTTTGCTATTTTTTAAGATATTAGTTGTATTTTTTTTCTTTTTGTGCTCTTTTTAATTCCTATGTCTGACTTCAAGGCTACAGGTGAACCATGTATAAATGCTGCCCTCTAGTGGTCAGTCAAAGTCGGCCACTGAACCAGCTCAACATCCCAACTGAATAGGGAATCAGCAGGACGTTTAGGTACCACATAGCAATCACACAACTATCATGAACTTCTCCCCATTAATTCTGCTAACTCCTAAATGATTATATTTTAATATTTATTACAATAACAGACCATGATTTGTTTATTTTGTTTGTTTATCTAGCTCAAGGCTCCAAAATCACAATAACAACATTTTCAAAAATAAGCTGCTATATGACACAGTTAGGCATGCTCACACACAAACAGTAATTGAACGTGGGTCCAGGAAGGAAGGCAAGATGTTGGCATAAAGCCCTGCTGTGTCATTAAATTGTTCTGTGTGGATATAAAATATGTTGAATTTCCAGATGCTGTCTGAGACAAATCTTAGCTGCCAGGTGTGGGATGTTCTTGCTTACTTGGGTCCTCTCCAAATTTAGACATAACCCATAACCCTCTGTTTTTCAGCAAAAGAAAATACCTTGCATTTATACATTGTTCATCGGAGAGTAATTATGTGTGCAATATCAGATGGTAAAGCGACTACAGAAGAGGCAAAGAATGGGCCTGGGGCTCCTATGACGGTTTTTTATTTTGGTATTATTGCTATCATGTGGGGGGCGTCAAATACTGAGCAAAACCATGAGGCAAAAGAAACAAGGGAGTCAAGTCATTCCACCTCCACAATGAAAATGCAAAAGTTACCTTTTGTGGAAGAAGATAGGTTTGAGAGGCCTGTAAATAAAATTATTTGTAAAAAAAAAAAATAAAATATGAAAAACAACTGAAACTTCTTATCATTACTTTCCCATCTAGTATATTCTGGGTGTTTCATATGCCATACCATACCAAACTATATTTGTTAAAACTGAGTATATTTAGAAATAACTATATAGAAACACAGGGCACAGTAGGCATTAAATTCACTCTTAAGAGTGAGATGTCTGTTACAGAAAAGTGTTAAGATTTAGATATTACTTCACTTATTACCAGAGGGGAAATTCACATTACAGGAGCACAAGAAAAAACCCAAAGAGTCAAGAGACCATGAAAAATCCAAAACATAAAAACATTTACAAATAAATCAACCAAAATAAGAATTTAAACAAACTTCTACATTCTCCAAATAGCAAATATATACTGTATATGCAGAAATAATGAGTCTAGTTGGAAGCTCCACAGACCTTGTTTACCTGACCTGTGTCATTTAATTTATTACACTGTAAAAGACTATTAGATAAACTACAAAATGTGTACACATACCATACTCTTTATTTACATAAGGAATAATAAGTAATTTTTCTGAAGTTCTGTGCAACCTGGGATTTATCAATCCTGAGGTTAATTGTTGTTTGTTGAATTAATTGATGCAACAATCGCATTGAAGACAGGTACAGGGCAACATAATGACTTGGCTCAGGGGTTAGCACCGAGTCAAGGTGTAAAATGTGCTTTGCTTTGAAAAATGTGTTTTAAATAACACATACAGGTGTGTTTCTTTGAAACATCATGCCCTGCAACAGCTGAGAGGACTGAAAGTCCCATTGTCGCCAATGTGTTTTAATCTGTGTATTTGATCTGTTTCTGAGAGGAAAATGGAATGACCAGCAAACACATGGACCTTCTGTCAAACAAGATCTTAAGCTGCATTGCTTTGTTTCCTGGAGTCAGTGTAACATCACATAAGGCATTAACTGGAAACAACAACAAAAAAAACTGACAATAACTGGTTAGGATTTTTTTCAGTTTATTAAAAAGATTCAGTCCACAGTAGTTCAGAGTTTGGCACCAACAATATAAAAACATGTTAATCAAAAATAAAGTGTACACCCCAAAATAGCATTGAACAAAATGCCTGAATAAAAAGGGATAAATAAAAGAAATGAATTTAAAAAAATACAAACATTTATGTAATTAAAATGCATTTCACTTGGAAATAATGGTGAATTATCCCATTCATTTTTGAAATAAGAGTTTAACTTTTGGTCAGTCAGCTTCGCCTTTATAGATTTTAGAGGTGCTATACCTTATGTTCTTTTTAAAAACACCTACATTACAGATCACAGAATCACATCTTCATGGTGACTTCAACAGCCTACACAGTAATAACGGCAAGGCAATGTTTTTAATACAAACTCAAAAGTAACAGTGCTTATCTTTTTAGGAAAGTTTGTAGTTCTGTATTTCTTGTGATTCAAAGAGAAATCTGGGTGACCAGTTGTGTTCCGCTCATCAAAATAGAAATACACTGACCACAGAGTGACAGACAGACATTACAACTACAATCCCCTCCATTTCAAAGAATGCTGATTGAGCTTTAAACTGTCTAATTAGTTTGATTGAAAATCTGACTGTCAGGTCTGTCTAGGTCAGTCAAGCTGAGACAGGAGCTGTAAAAGTTGTTTTGGGCAACAAGGTTAATATATGAAATGTATGGCTTTGGAATTCCTTTGCAAAACATCTCTCTCTCCTGATTTGGAAATGTCTAAGGGCCCACAAAATGCATTCTATCATTATCTAAATGTCTTCTGAACATATATATTAGTCACAGTGAGACTCAAAAGGGAAATACAACAAACGCGGCTACAGGTATTATCAGGGACGGACACTAGTAGTGGTGTGTTTTGTTCAAAGAGAACTGTGATGGAATGTTCTGAAATTAAAAAAGTCCTAATGCAACAGTAAAAGTACACAACAATACTGCATCTGGTGCGTGTGTGTGTTTGTGTTTGGGGTATGCAGCTGAGCTGAAAAAGCAGCAGGATTTGTGCTCTGATAGATTTGTGTCAAAAAAATCATCTGATGAAGAACTCCTCATTTCTGCTGAAGAAGAGAGGAGCACAGCCAACGTGAGAAGCTGGACAGATCTTTGAATAGGCACAGACGTTGGTGTGGAAAAGTCTTAAGGCACTAAAATTTGGTGTGGGGAAGACCTTTTAAGGCACATATTTAATGCAAAGGTCTTCTTTTCATGAAAGCAGGAGGAGGCTTCCTTCTTGTAAGGGGTCTCACGTCTTCCTTCTTTACTCACTCTCCCCTCTTCTCTCTACTCTGAGGGATTGTGAGCATCTGCAAGCAGCTCGGGCCTAAAACATTCAATCGGACACTGGATGTTCTGGACAGGGAAGAAAATGAAGGGAAAACAGAGAGGACAGGATTAGTTTTAAATGGACTTACACCAAGTTCTACAAAATCAATGATCAGATCCCCTAAATGAACCTTTTGTGTAATTGTGAATAAATGAGTGAATAAAATGTGCAGGATATTAAATTCAATCTATATTACAACATGTCCTGATCAAACAAATCAAAAAATTACATAGACATCCCTGTTAATGGTCATTTATACATCCTTATACACCGACTATATATAATTTAGTCGTTTCTTTTTTTCTTGATTAATAGGTGGTTAAAAATGCTGTGAAATGGAAAGGGTAGAGTAGAATATTAGTGGTAACATTTATAGTGAGACACTGACCAGTTTGCGTAGAGCGTTTTCTCTGTACCGGTCGAAGACATCTGAGCTAACAGGCTGCAGGAGGTCAGCGTCCACGTCTGTCGGCCCCCCCGGCCGTCTGCAGTTCTCACAACGCCAGCCCTACAGAAGG